ACATTAGATCTAGAATTTGTATGTCTAATGCAAATTCCATGATGTTTATATTTCAAATAATCACAATCTTATAAGAATTCCAGCAATGTAAATTATATTCTGGCTGGGTAATTTATATGAATTTTATGAGCTAAAACAAATATCTTCAGTAAATAAAGAAATTATACTTCACCCGCGTAAATCACCAAATTTACCGCGTAATTAAAACATTTCATTCTGGCAAGGCACCGCGTAAATGACCAAACGCATAAACAAAAACCGAGTAAATCCAGACTCAACTGTACCTCTAGTTACGGAACTCATCCGTACCATGGGGACTGCCTGTTTTTTCTTATGGCCAGAAATTCCCGACTTTAAGTGGATTAGATTTAAATGGTGATTCTTCCGTCCCTAATAGCCTTGGATAACAAGGCCCCCTGTATATTGAGTGTACGGTACTGTATATTGAAAAATAAGTGGTGAAAGTTGCCGGTTGGGAACGCATACCCCCAATTAAATTGATTCTCATGGCAGAAAATTGCCCCGATATTCGCAAATTCATTACCTGCAATGACTTTTTTATTTTTAGGAGAATCCTTTACAATAACCAGGGTACTGTATTCCAGTACTATAATGAGAATGACCAACAACTGATGTTTACAGCAAAGTGTTTAAATGATAACTGACTTCATGTGTGTTGTGTTGCTGCAGCTAGAAATTTGGCTCAAATTAAGTTATATTTGAACCAGGATGATATAAATTGAACTTAGATTGTGGCTAGAAACAAAGAGAACCTATTTGAGCCTGAAATTTGTAAGAGCAGAGTTGAAATAAAGAGTTTCTGCAGTAATTACTTTAAGCAAAGATTAAATTTAACTAGACAATCAGTGGTCAAGAGGATAAAGTAAACTTACAGCAGATGTGTGTGCGAGATGCAAGTGTTAAAATTGAAATAGGCCAAACTAGTAAACTTGCCAAACATGCTATTGACAAACTGGTTATGATAAATAACTGTAATCACGTCTTAACACTGGTATCTACAGCACCAGAATTTTAATATTCAACTCCCCGGTAAAATTTGGCTCCTGCGGTACTAACCCATTAACACCCATCAACCTCCCCCATTCATGGCAGGCCAGCCACTGTATGCAGAATGTCTCCACTATTACTGTTTCATTAACCTAACTCTTTATTATATTGGGGGATGGCTGTATCTAAGCTTTCATAATGGGGGCTTATGGAAAAATGTGCTTTGATTTATGAAAAAGAGATTTATAAAAGCTTTTCAAGAATTAAATCCTTTTATAAATAAGGATCAGCCTGTACTGTAGATAGCATGAGAAAATTAAATGGAAAATATTGTAAATGTCTGTAAAAATATCTCTACATAGTTGGATATGCAGAATGCAAACAAAATCTTCTGATGAAAAATCAAGAAATAGTAACTTCAATCTGGGAAAATCTAAATTATCCAGAAACAGTCAATGTAAAATGACTTACTTGCAGAGAAGCAGGCCTTTCTTTGACAGTAAGCCACGCCATTATAACAATCACACCAGTTGCAGTCCATCTTCCAGTGAGAACCATTCTCACACTCAGGTTCATCACTCACATAATCTGAAATGTTTAATTTCAATGAAAATTTTGAGGTGAATCAATATTAAATTAATTTGGAGGAGATAAAGAACTGTGACCAGGATGATAGATAACAGCAATTCTAATAACTTGGCGATAAAAATTTATTAATATACCTTCATAAATTCAAAGGAGGAAAAAATTAAGTTGTGAAAAAAAAAAAAAAGAGAGAGAGAGAGAGAGAGAGAGAGACAGAGACAGAGACAGAGACAGAGACAGAGAGAGAGAGAGAGAGAGAGAGAGAGAGTGTGTGTGTGTGCAAGTGAATAAAAAAGTGTAAAACAGTGATGGTGCACATGTTAGGCCATCCTTTATATACAGACATCAACTTACCAGGAGGACATGCTATTTGGGTACACGCTGTTGTTCCATTTTGACAGATGCACCAATTGCAAGACTCTCGCCAGCTGGATCCTTCAGTACAAACTGCTTCTTCCATCTGATTTACCACCACTCCAAGGCCCATTTTAGACTCTAGCTCAGTGAAATAAAAATAAATTAATTAATAAAACAGTTACCCATGCCTTACAGCATAATATTAAACCTTTATCTAAAGGCCATTACTGTGTGCTGACTGTGGTTTAAAAGTCATGTACACTATCTCAAAAAGCATCTGCCAGGATGATCATACACATTAAATATGGTGGTGGTGTTATCGTGCACCATCACTGTATAACAACCTTAAAAGTGAAGTTCACCATTTGTTGATGCCAATGGTGACGATGCCATCAAGAGTACATACTGTATAGCAGAAGCTCTCTTGAACTGTGTGCAACTACTCTAACAGAATGACCACACTCAATTATTCCATTATGCAGATGTTTATGGAAGTTTTGCATAATTTTCTTATCAAAACTCATCTTCTAATGTATAAAAACTTTATGTTTAGGAGTAACTCCTTTAAAAGAGAAAATCTGATAATAACCCAGTGATAAATTACAGAGAAAAGACTTATAAAACTTATAATTTACCTTCAAAACAGCCATCTTTTGTGCACATTCCTCTGCCATTATGACATGAGCACCAGTTGCAACCTACTTTCCATTTAGAGTCACCAACACAATTTGCTTCACCTGACTCAAGCGCTAGTAGATCATGATCTGGAAAAATAAAATAGTGATATCCCCGTTAGCTGGAAAAATTGGTGCAGAGCACTTCCGGGATGAGAGACTTCTGGGTAACAAGACAACTTTCGCAAACCAGGCAAAATTCCTTATCCCCAGATTCTTTTCCAGTTACTAGGAAAAGTTTCCGAGTGTCTAAACTAGACATCTTGCACAGACAGACACAACCCCACTCCCAAGAATGTTTCTGGTTGCTAGGGATGTTTTCCTTAAGTGTAAACTACCAGAGTCATAAATGCAGTTTGAATTAAGTTAGAAACTCTATTTGTTTACAACAGTATAATAATCCAGAATAGTTTATATAGAAGTTTAGTTAAGTCAATATATTTAAAAGCTAAGAATCTAAATGATACAGGTGTGAATGAAGCTGTGTGTTACAGCAAAAACTGATATTTTCCACTCTCATGGAGCTATGGGGGATTAGTGGGTCTCATGTAACTGACCTGACCTGACAACATGTCAGGTTAGGTAGGGTGTGCAGATTATTGGTCTCATATTACTGACTTTCTGAGGGAATGTTAGGTCACACTTTCTTGGGTGGGGGATAAGTGGGCTTATGATCGCGAAGATGTCTTGAATAAACACGAAACCTAAAGTATTTTTAGGGAGATTGTGATAAGTATAACTGAGCAAAGTTGTATCCCTTCAACATTACATTATATAAAATACAGTATTACCCCGCTTTACGCGGTTTCACTTTCCGCGATTTCTCATTTACGCGGTGCCTCGCCAGAACCGAACTTTCACTTTCCGCGGTGCATCTACTCATATACGCGGGAAGCGGCGCGGGCAGGATGCGCACAAGGTCGCCCAGTCATCAAAACATTACCGAGTTCTTCACCTGCCACCCACCACAGCCGGCCTAAGTCAGTGATAGTGAGGATATGGACTTATATGGACTTTGAGGGGTTTGACAAAGAGGCCCTGCAAGCCTATGTGGTGGATAGTGATACAATTGATACAAGTGATACAGGTGAGGGCCAATAATCTGCCCTCTGCCTCGGAACCAACCCCCCATCCCTGTGTGCCCAGCCATCTTTGCTATTAATGTAAGTGTTAAAAAAACTAATATTATTGATATTTCTCTTAATTATTAATTGTGAGTGCATACCATCATAAAATTAAGATGTAATTTTTACTACAACGTAGGTATTGTGTCTGAAAAAGTGGAGTTTGGGGATCGGGCCAGTCTCTATTGGAATTAATCCCATATGTTCTGTTGTTCACTTTACGCGGTTTTCACTTTCCGCGGTACCCTGAGGGTTCAATTGACCGCGTAAATCGGGGTACTACTGTATTAAAATATGGAGTAAGAAAGCAGAAAGGTGTGGGTAATTAGAAAGATGGAGTGGAAAGGAGTCGTAACATGTACTGTATTGCCAAGTGCTTCTCAACAGCTGATGTTTATCTCGCCACCAGGCAGACACACAACAAGACCCTCACTGGATGCTTGTTGTCTTACTTCCCGTGTGACTGTGTGCGAGTGTGTGTCGGGAACACACACTCTCTCCCTTTCTCTCCATGTGAGACGCCTGTATTTATTATTATACAGTATATTCTCATATGATCAGCCTCTTATGGTGTATGTTTTATCACTGATAATATAAAATATTAAAGCTATAGTGCTATCCATGCTACCAATGGCTTTCTGTGTAAGCCATTCCTGCATTTCAACCAATAACATAAGTGTCCACACATGCAAGACCCATGTTATAAAAGAGACCAAACTGTATATCATATATGAATGTGTGTGGATGGACCATCACCCTGTCACTAGTTTGGTTTGTCAGGAGTGTTATTAAAAATTCTAAGTAAACTAAAGCAGAACAATAAAAAAACAAAAAAACATAAGGAAAAGATAACTTTAAAAATATAAAAATTCTGCTTTTGATCTACGAGCATTTGTTGATGCTCACCTGGTCGACATCCTAATTTTGTGCAGCTGCTAACTCCATTTGCACAAAAGCACCAATTGCAAGATACTCGCCACCTTGATCCTTCAGTACAAGTACGCTCTTCCTGGTTTACCTCTATGCCAGTGGTATTTGGTGTGTCAGGAGAAGCCCCTGGAGAGGAACAATGAGACAAAATTGAGAGAATGTTAACAGATCACATAATTAGCTGGCATAAAATTTTCACCTTGCAAATGTAAAGTCACAACAAATCTACCAGGCATACCAAATCATATACCCTGTATTGTATTTGAATACATACCAGTAAATAAAGATTCTGTGATTAGTTAATGTTAAAGCATATACTTTACAGGCATCCCGTGTTATGGAATCCCAGGCTATAGAAATTCGCCCTTACAGAATTTTGAAATTATGACCAAAAATTCAGGATACGGAAAATAACTCGCCCTTACAGAATTCGAATAGATTAACACTCTCGGGATTGGCCGAAATTTGTTTAATGAGCCTGTGCCAGGACCACTTTTGAGAGCGTAAAATGACCAGAAACCGCGGAAGATCTTTTTTCCCCGCGTGCTATTCGTGGCTAAGATATTATCAAATATTTATTCAAAATTATGCCTTCCTATTTGAAAAAAAACCTGGAAAATCACATGAAACCCTCAAAAATAAAATAAAATAATAAATAAAAGCTATTTTGGTGAGTATAAGTGAAAAGTGAGTTTACTGTTGATTCTTCTTCATGCTGTACCCACATCATTGCATCAGTATAAAATTCAGATGGCAAGGAGGAGTAAATCATGAGGAGGATGTTGGTGTAATCAGAAAAAAAAATATTAAAAATAATGGAGTTACAGAATATAAAGTAAAAATAAGTGATGGTTAGGTGTGCAGTCGCCAAAATATCTATATATTTTTTCTTGCTATTTTTTTTTTGTCAAAATATTTCTAAAGTATTTTTTATGATGGATTATTACTGTGCACATACTGAGGAAGAGAAACAGACCAGTTTGAAGTTTCTGTGACAAAATTTGAAATTTGGGCAATAATATTTCCACTTAGCACCCAAGACGAGGTAGGCTTTGGCATATGCACGACAATAGTGATGGCCTTATGAATACATATCAAATAAGCACAAAATATTCATTATAATTCACCATATGCATGCATCTACAGCACTACATTTCACCATTACTTATTGTTTTTCAGAGCTAGGCCTATATAGTACGACATGCTTTTGTGCGACTGTATTGTGAGTAGCCATTTCACCAATTTCTCATAAATTCCACATATATTTCACTCTTTCCACTAGCGCACCCAAGGGATGGGCCCATGGGGCCCGAGCCCTCCCCCCTTAAGCCCACAGTTCCTTAACCGTCTGTGGTCAGATGCTGGAATCCTACATGTCACCCCGTGGTCAGGCAAAAGTGAATATTTTTCTGCCTAATAGGTCCTATTTGGTCTGAAAATAAAGGAAATAAACCTCAATTCGCTCGTAATTGCCAATTTAAAGCTCCCACGCGCGCCCAAGTTGCCAAGGCAGGCCTCTGAAATGACGTCACGTAGATTTCCTTACCACAATGGTGCTGCTGTTACATGTTATTTTCGTGTCTCCCGCATTGTCCTTATTGTTGCTCCTTCAGGCTCCCCCCTTACAGAATTTATGGGTGCGCTACTGACTCTTTCTTTATAAATATTTCAATACACATCACTTTATCACTTCATAAGAATTAATATCGAGGTTGTAACTGATAAACATTTGGGGATAACGTCCACTTGGCCAGACTCATAACTGTTGTCTTTGTCTGGAGGCTGCGTGATCTACCCCACATATCCGGGTTGCCAACTTGGCCTTAAAATTTGGTTCCATGCAGGAGAGTGGAATGAAGAAAATGGCGTTAAGACTTGAAGTATTCGACCAGGAACTTTTAGAGAAAATGAACTATACGCCACAATGGCATATCTGACCGTGAGGCAAACGTTTAATTTACTTTACTCAAAATGCCACATAGGCGTGAATGAACCCAAGTGTAAATTTTTTTTTTATTTTCATCCCAAATTTTTACCCAAATTGTAAAAATTATTTTGTGTTGAACAGGGTTGCCAGGCTTAATTTTGTTCTCCGAGGACTCTCACTCCCCCATTTTTTATCGAATTAAACTGGCTTCTAGTAAAAGTGAGAACAGAATTCAAACTCTGTCTAATGACTCTCAAGACACTAATGTTTGGTTACCCTAAGCATTTGATCAACCTACTAATTCCACTTAAGGGTATATGAATAATCGAAGTTGAACTGTCACTTTTTGTGATCCTTTATTGTACTGTACATTGTTTCTTTTCATTTTCAAGCCTTTTGAGAAACTAAAGACCACTTATTATTATTATTATCACTATTATTAGATTATTACAGTATTATTTTTTTTTATTATTATTATTCGTGCCATCCTTTCTTTACAACTTCCATAATGGCATCCAGGCATTCTGTTGAATCTTCGGCTACCCATACTACACTGAAGAAACCACGGAAGGCTGCGACTTTTTGACACAAAGCTGGAGGTAATTAAGTGTCACGAACACAGTGATGGCCCTAACAAGATTGGGAAAGATCTTGGTGTGGCTACTTTACTATGGCCACAATTTACAGTACAAGCATGCTGAGGAAATTAAACAAGTAGTTGGACAGTAGTGATGAGGACAACCCTCCTTATCTCGCTGAATAGGGCCCTTACTCAGCCCACCCTATAAGGTAAATGCACCAAAGATAAACAGTAATTTATAGGTTTTTATTTTTTTCATGTGTCAGATGGTAAATTGTAGTAGTTGTGTACTATTTATTTAGGTCGGTGTTTCTCTTGATTGTGGACCGAGTCTGTGTTTTGGGGGCATGATATTGGGACATTTTTGTCACTGGGAATGGAACCCTATTTGCCACCTGTTTATCTATTTGTGGTACGTAAATTCACCTAATGAATTGTTTTTTGGAACCTAACGTATTTATATTTTGAGGGATACCTGTATTGATGACTTTTTGAGGTCCCTAACCCCATCGTATAGTGGTCATTTACCTGCAGTACTGGGGAAATTTGGGGGTGGGACGGGAAAATAAACTACACATCTCGGACAGACAGACAATTCTATATCCCCTGAATATTGACCGCTGGTAGGGAAAGTTTTTCAAGAGTCTAAACATCTAAACTACACATGGTACAAACACTCTCCCATCACATTTAGGCCATGGTCAAGAGCAAAAATATTTAAAGGTTGTGAAAATGTGTATAAACTTTCAGTCACAGCATCTATTCCAGTTGTGTTAAATAGATGAAATTAGGACCATAATGTTCCAGAATAAATTATTTACAGTCAACCCTCGCTTTACGCGGTCCTGCTTTACGCGTTTCCACGTTTACGCGGTCCCACATTATGCGTTTCCACGTTTACGCGGTACCCTGCCGAAACCGGAATGCTCACTTTCCGCGGTGCATGTACTCCTTTACGCGGAGAGCGGCGCGAGCAGGGTGCGCACAAGGTCGCCCAGCCATCAAAACATTACCGAGTTCTTCACCCGCCACCCACCACAGCCGGCCCAAGTCAGTGATAGTGATAATGATAGTGAGGATATGGACTTATATGGACTTTGAGGGGTTTGACAAAGAGGCCCTGCAAGCCTCTGTGGTGGATAGTGATACAATTGATACGAGTGATACAGGTGAGGGCCAATAATCTGCCCTCTGCCTCGGAACCAACCCCCCATCCCCGTGTGCCCAGCCATCTTTTCTACTAATGTAAGTGTTAAAAAACCTAATATTATTTATATTTCTCTTAATTATTAATTGTGTGTGCATACCATCATAAAATTAAGAAGTTATTTTTACTACAACGTAGGTATTGTGTCTGAAAAAGTGGAGTTTGAGGGTCGGCACGGTCTCTATTTCAATTAATCCCATATGTTATGTTGTTCACTTTACGCGGGCCGCCGTGGGTTGAATTAACTGCGTAAAGTGAGGGTTCAATGCACACGATTGTTTTAATATAATATCTTTTAAACAAAATATTTTGACATGATACAATGATGAGGACTATTCTTATATAAAAAAACCTAAGAATGTTTATACCGTAGTCCATAAAATCAGTTCTAATTAAGTTAGAAATGCCATTTTCAAACTAAAATAATCCTGAATAGTTTATATAAAAAAGGTTGTTTAAATAATTATTGGAAATGTCACAAAGAATTTTTTAAGGATCATTGTATCAAATTCATTTCCCTATCACAATTAGCCATGCTTGAGTGAGGAAGAAGGGGAGAAAACTGACTGTGCGAGCCTACCCCCCCCACCTTCCCCCCCCCCCAAAAAAGTTTTTTTTTCAATTGTATTGAAGTAAAAGTATTAGAAAACCATACTAAGGTAAAACAACTGAAAATTCCGAGTACAGAACTTTTTAATATGTAAATACCAAATTTTTTTACTGGAGTACAGTACTCAAGTAAATTTATTTTGTTATTTTACAACTCTGGGTTTACATTGTGTATGTGACAAAGCATTGGAAGTTCCGTAATGTGACGTAGTTCCATTATCTGCTGCAGCAAGCGGTGGGACTGCCAAGTGCATGATGTGTTCAACTTCATATTTCATTGCTAGTTTCATTATTTCACCACGGTAGTTAATCTATAGTATTTGTTATAAATACTCACCAAGCATTGTTATTACATATGTCCAGTGAGTGGTTGCCATAAACAATGTCAGTTGCATACTTTTATGACACATACACTGTCAGTCCACCAAGCACTCAGATAGCCTAAATGTTCCTTCTTTTCTCTTAAATTGTAAAGGGAAACAAAATGCAGTACTGTACTGTATTATTCTATCTTCTTATTCCTAATCCATAAAAGATAGCTAACTTGATCTGAAGTCTTTTAAGAAAACTTGGTCATATTCCACTAAGGAATCATCTGAAATATTATCTTCACTTTCTGATAATTTTCAAACTCATTTTCACTAAGAGAAGTGTCTAATGATGCCATGAGTATGGAGAACAAAGCATATCCCATCCACAGAAAAGATAAGAGAATACTGGCCACCAGTATGGCATCAACTACATATCCAATCATACAAACTTTCAAAAACATTAATAGATATTGGTTAAGGAGACGGCAAGAAAAATGGATGTGTGTGGTCATTGATTGATTTTTGTGTCATTTCATTTTATCAGTATTTGTCAGAGCTGTAAAGTAACTACCTAAGTACATTTACTTGAGTACTGTACTCAAGTTACATTTTTGGGGTATTTACTTTTTAAAAAGCACTTCAATTTTTCAGTACTTTTACTTAAGTATGGTTTTCTGATACTTTAACTCCAATACAAATGAAAAAACATTTAAATCGTTACTCATTACATGTCCCAAACAAAAGAGATTAAAGTATCCAATCACAGGACACAGGATAAACTTGGAAGCTACCTAATCAACACCACTTCTCCATATCTGAACCAATTACATGTGTTTCATGTTGCTTCATTTATGTACCCAAGCTACAAACACGTCTAAGCTGCCCTTTCCGCCATTTTCTTGCTTGATGCTACAGAGGCAACAATCATCCACAAACTCCACAAATGAAGGAGCTTGATAGCTACTTGGCATGCCCAGGGGATGGAATAGAGCTACTGAGATCTTTCCCAACATCATGTGACTTATATCCCAAGTTTAACACCACACTACCTGCATCTGCTGCTTGTGATCATCTATTTGGTCATGCTCAGCTTATATTTGGGCCTAAAAGATCCCAATTGGACAGCCATAATTTTGAGAATCAGTTATTGATTAATCTCAATGGAAAGATTTGCAAATAAACATGTGTAGTGCTGTGTCTTTTATTTTCAACTTTAGTTAATTTGCTGCTTTCATAATTTACTGTGGATTGGTTTTCATATTTGAGATTATTAATAATTTTGTTGTTACCTTTTACTTTCAGAACTTGAGAACTTTATGAATGAGATACATTTTTACTTCTACTTGAGTAACATTTTGCCAATAAAACAATACTTTAACTTAAGTAACAAAGTCCGCTACTTTATACAACTCTGATGTTTGTCCCAAGACTTTGTCAACGTAACAGAGGAGTGTTGCCACCACATGGTATAAAAACAATACCCAGCATAGGGAGTGCTAAATGAGGTTTTTAGTTTTACATATGGTCTTTTTAACCTTAAACAGCAGGTAAGGATTCCCCAATCTGCTCCCATATACATAAAAAATTTAATGTAAGGAACATGAAACATAAATTGATGTAATTAGAACCCACAGTTCTTCTGAGTGATGAAAGAGTAATGTGGGCAGCACAAGTATGATGTCAACTGAATGACCTAGGCTAGGTCTGCTAAAGAGATTTAAAAAAAATTTAATCTGAAAATCCTTGGTATAATTGATTATTTCCAATGATTTACAGATTCCTGATACTAAAATCAAACTAATTACGGCACAAAATAACAATTATCCTCCCTGTTCATCTACCAGCAGAGGGATGCACAGAGGAAGTCCAAATGGCTGGAATGTGGCATCAAAATTTTGAGGATTAAAAACATGGATTCACCTTGATGGCTGTAAGAGGATTATGAATGTATGTGAACCTTCCTTAGGGTTTCAACTCAGTATAGCTGAGGTTGCCTAAATGACTAAGAGTTCAAAGCATTATTTTGACCTTGGCTTACAGGGAAAGTACCTACATGGAAACTATTTACACTGACCCTATAGGACTGTGACTTGCTGTTAAAGCTTATAAAGCTGTCAGGACAGGCCGGGAGGGAGGAGTTGTAGAGGAAGTATCTTACGTTAAAAACAAACATGCACTTCTTCCAGGAGAATCGCCAAACACTAATTAATGTACAAATTATCCTGTACAAGGCATAATTAATTCAAGCATAATAATTTATACTGTATATCAAGACAATAGAATGTACACACACACAAAGCTATAAAAAAGAAGGTTTAAATTAATTAGTGGGTGAAAAAAATTGAACTCAGAGTATTTCTTTATTCTCGGACCCCAGGAGAACAGTTTTACACACTTTACATAGAGAAATGTAATCAGTACACATGACAGGCCAATACTACATGCAGCTAAAACTCTCACTACTAACCACAATACTTGGTAGTGCACACTGCTCTGCCACTAACACAATTGCAGGTGTTGCAGTCCTTCTTCCACTCTGGTGTTCCTTCACACTCATTTGTATTATCTAGTCGGTCCATAATAACTGAAAAAAAAAACATTTATCATAGTGGAAAGCAGATCTGAAAGCAACAAAAAAAGTTTGGTGCAATTTAGCCTTATGTCAGAAGGTAAAATGGTTTTGTCAATGGGAAAATTAAAAAGTTGGAGTGAAGCTAATCCATCTCTGCATCACTAATATTATGATCTTGTGTGCAAAGAAATGTATATTCCCTCTAAGTGTTTGCCCTAAGGACAATTATTTCTTTTCCATTTTTTACAATATGTATGTAGGATGGTGTGTGCATGTAAGTGAGTAAAATTAAATGAAGAAAGTTACGCATATGCGAGTCCTATCTTCAAGAAGGGCGAGCGGCACTCCACGAACAACTATGGACCGGTGAGCCTGACCAGCATAATATGTAAAGTACTTGAGAGTATTATCAGAGATGCCGCAATGAAACATCTAATACGAAACAATCTTGTAAAGGATTGCCAACACGGTTTTATGCCGGGGCGCTCCTGCTTAACACAATTGCTCAAGGTATTGGATATTTGGACCCATATTCTGGAACAGGGTGGTAATATCAACAATATTTACCTAGATTTTGCCAAGGCTTTCGACAGCGTACCCCATGAAAGGCTGAAAATCAAACTGGAAGGGTACGGAATTCGAGGAAATGTCCTAGCATGGATAGAAGACTTTCTACATGACCACAAGCAGTGTGTGGTGATTAATGGCACGAAATCGTCATCCGTACCTGTCACAAGCGGGGTACCACAGGGCAGTGTATTGGGTCCGCTGTTGTTTGTTTGTTTCATAAATGACATGCCTGACGTTGTACACTCCTCCATACAAATGTTTGCCGATGATGCCAAGTTATTTCGGGAAATTAAGAACCAAGCTGACTGTGAAGAGCTGCAGAAGGACCTCTGTGGGCTCCAGGAAAGGTCGAAGGAATGGCTGCTGAGATTCAATGTCACGAAGTGTAAGAGGCTGCACCTGGGGCGTACCAAAGGTAAGGAGGCGTATCATATCTCCCAACGGAATGAAGAAACTGCACGAGTCGAGACTGTATGTGAGAAGGACCTAGGTGTGTATGTTGACAATGAGCTGAAGTTCTCGGGCCATTGCGAGAAGAAGGTAAATCTGGCAAATAAATTATTGGGTATTATAAGAAGGTCGTAAGGGCAAACTTTTTCGGATTGAGGGTTACGGTATAAACTCTTGGAACAATCTGCCAGAGAGTGTTGTGACGGCACTGAGTGTGAGCTCTTTCCAGACAAGACTTGACCAACACTGGAGCGGGTTCAGGTACATTCAGGAGCCGGTGTATGCCCAGTATTTGCCAACAGTGCGTGACAGAGACGTGACCGATCGCCCGGGCGGCTAGCGAGCCGATCTTTTGGTGAAAAAGATAAATGAAAAGGAAAAGTAATCAGAGACGTGACCGATCGCCCAAGCGGCTAACAAGCCGATCAGTGGCGAAGAGGATAAAAGTAAAAATATACCAAAAAATAAGAAATAAAAAATAACTATAACAACCAGTAGCCTGGTTGTTATAGTGACAAGTCTAACCTGGCTACAATGCTGCCAGTGATATTAACAGACACAAATGTGAAAAGAGAGTTTTCTGTAAATCTTCATTTGTATCAGGTATTTGTGGGTTTAAAAATAAATGTTGTAAGTACAGGGTATAGCACTGTAAGAGTTCAAAAATGGTTACTGCTTAGAGTCCCGGGTTTGAGAGATTCCAGCTAACGGAGATATTATTATTATTATAGGTATTATTATTATATTTTTGCCCCCCCCCCCAGGCCCTGATGTGGGTCAGTGACTTGTGCCCAGGTGGGCTAATCCCCATAAAAAAAAAATGAAGGCAGGGAGTGGAATGGTACATACTATAGTCTTATAATCTAATGCCTCAAGAAATTATTTCATTTCATATATGGTACAGTACAGTATGTGTAAATGTAAAAAAAGAGGTTAGAAATTGAAGTAAAGTATAAACCTTTTTTTTTTCAACATACCTTTTGGGCATCCCTTGCGGGTGCAAACTCCATATCCACTTATGCATCGACACCAGTTGCATTCCACCCTCCAACGGCTAGTATTAGGGTCGCCCTTGCACTCTTGTTCTGTGATGAAAGGAAAAGTTCAGAACAATAGACATACAGTACATGAAATAATGACAACAACATGCCATATAACTGTCAAGGACCCTGAAGGTTCATTTAAGCAGATAAACAGTAAAATACTATACAACACAATCTTATGTTTCAGATACTATTGTACTGCTGTAGGACAGTTATAAGATGAATGAAGCCTAATTAGGTTCTGGCAAACTCTGTTTCATTATACCCAGCTAATTCAGTTACCTCATTTTAAACCTTCAATTTTCTCCAAGAGAGCAAATTTGAATTTTTTTTCATAAATACGATCATGAAGCGTACTTTAATGATTACCTATAGTTATAGTGTTCGTCGTTCTCACCGGTGCATCATTATAAACTCCCTCTTTTAAATTATGATAGAATGATAGAGTATAGAGTGTACAGTAGAGGACAAAATGCGCAAAGTGATAATTTAAGATGAAAACTTATAAAAAAAATTTTGGCTACGGTCCTTTTTCCTATTATGTTGCTGTCAATATACACAAAGCTGGAATAAAGTAATTTAATAAAACAAAGACAAAATATATCAATGATCTTACCACAGATTTTCTTGGAACAAACACCAGTGCCATTGACACAACTGCACCAGTTACAATGATCAAACTTCCATCTGGCGTCACCTTCACATACAAGCTCCTCAGGTTCAACATTAAATTCTGTTCATAATTGAAATCATTTTATAATTCTATCCACCTTTAGATAATTACATTGTTTGAGTATCAAAGTATATATGTGCACATCCATAAACAATGTGTAGATTTTCAGGAATATTAATTTAAACCCTTTATATATATATAGAGAGTAATTTGTGGAACATTAGAAAAAAAGGGCAACAACATACCTGGCACACAGGCCATCAAAGTACACATGCCAATGCCAGTTTCAGTACAACTACACCAGTTGCAGTCATTTTTCCAGCGTGACCCAGGGACACAATTTGCACCCTCACTAAGGCCTGCCACAGGGTCTTCTAGTGCTGTTGGTCAAATTGCATACTGAATCAAGACAATGTTCAGTGACAGTTGTACAGACACTTAAATAGTGATACACTTAAACACACTATAATAATATAAAATAATTCATTATGGTGATCTAAAAACATAGTGTTTAGTTATGGACCAGAGCATCACCAACAACTGATGTCACACTTTTAGCAATATACCAACAGGAGGTACAATAAAGCAAGGATCATATACTATTAAGGGTAGCTCGCCACACACACTTGTTTTACCCACAAAGCACAACTCTCTGACGTCACTGTTGTAAACAAGGTCATCTGGTGAGTTCCGTGCGTGCCCCCGCATCTGCTCCCGGGACCAGTGTATCAACAATTATGGTTATTTGTGCAATATATGGGTGTACCAGTAATGCTCAAATACCAAGCTTATGCACCTCAATTAGGTCGCCCCTTGGCCATTTGTATTATAAGCTCGGCAAGTTCAGGCACTCCAATCTCTCGGGGTTGCTGAGGTGCCGTAGTGCAGGCACCAGACTGGTTGCCAAATGTTGGGACAGTTTACGTTTACACCTGAGCTTTTCCCGATTATATTCTGGAAGGTCTTTCAAACTGCTGATAACAGATTCAAGGCAAAAGCCCATCATAAAATCACAGTCACGTGCTTGTAAAAGTTTGTCTGCAGGTAAAAGAGTTAACAGGATTTTCTCCACACAGTACTGTATGCAATGAACATGAATTGTCTGCATTTTATTTGTTTTAATAACCCTGTTGCGTTGGTGCACACTGCTGCATCACACCCATTTTCCTTACAAGTTTCAAGTACATCCACCAGCTTGTCATGATTAGCTATAATTGCTGACACACTGGCCAGGCACTTCAGCTTAGTTTCATCATAGATTCTGTACAAATTTGGACGATGTATGAAGTTATAGAGGTTGTTGCAAGTTGTGAAAAACATTTCAATATCTTGCATTCCATTGGCATGAACTACAAGCAAATGTAACTGATAGTTAAAGCAGTGCATATACGGTATTTCTCTCTGAAGTTGTTCTTGTATTTTCTTCTGAACACCTCCATGTCTTCCTGACATAACAGATGCACCATCATAGCATTGTGAGAATATGTTACAGTATTGGAATCCAGACCACAGTCCTTCAAAGTTTGCAATATTACAGGAGAGATATTGGCTGCATCCAAATCATCTGTTGTTGGCATACCTACTAAAATTTCATGTACTTTTGTATTCTTTACACAACGGACAACTGGATATGTTCCATCTCCAATGATAGTGAAGAAAGGTATGTCTACTTCTCTGATGTCACTTGTTACATTCTTTATGACAATGTCCTAAGTGATCTGAATGGTTTCATTTTAAATTTGAACAGAGGTGTAGGATGTATTCTTTGGAATCGTTTGAAATATATCACGAAGTTTTTCATCCTTGGACAGTGGAACAACTTCGGGAACAGACCACATGGCTCAGTTTATGTCAAGACATTCTGCTCCACTGCTACTGTCTCCATGCAAAGGCAGTTCATTTACACAAAAAAATTTAATAACTTCTACAATTGATTTTATGTGGTGTTTGTGCTTCCCAGCTGCATCTCATTCACCACCGTACATACACTTTGGTCTCTCTGTATGCCCTGTTTTCACTCCCCCCTTACAGCCATTGCCTGAATAAGAGATATTGATTTTGCCTTCGTTCTTTTCTAAGGCATGGTCCCAATTGTAATATACTTTGTGGGTGAAAATCTGAACCTTTGATAACCTAGCCTAACCATAGGTAACCTAACCTAACCATAGGTAACCTAGCCTAACCATTGGCAACCTAGCCTAACCATTGGTAACCTAGCCTAACCATTGGTAACCTAGCCTAACCATTGGTAACCTAGCCTAACCATTGGTAACCTAGCCTAACCATTGGTAACCTAGCCTAACCATTGGTAACCTAGCCTAACCATAGGTAACCTAGCCTAACCATTGGTAACCTAGCCTAACCATTGGTAACCTAGCCTAACCATAGGTAACCTAGCCTAACCAGGTAACCTAGCCTAACCATAGGTAACCTAGTAACCTAGCTAACCTAACCTAGGTAAGCCTAGCCTAACCATAGGTAACCTGGTAACCCTACCCTAACCATAGGTACCTAGCCTAACCATAGGTAACCTGGCCTAACCATAGGCCTAACCTAGCCTAACCATTGGTAACCTACCCTAACCGCAGGTAACCTACCTAACCATAGGTAACCTAACCTACAACCCCTGGCCAACCGTGGTAACCTAGGCCTAACCATGGTGACCTTTGACTATTTGCCTAGCCCTAACCTAGCTTTTTTTCTAACCTTAGCCTAGCCTAACCTAACCTAGCCAAACCTTTGCTAACCTAGCCTAGCCTAGCTTAGCCTAGCCTAACCTAACCTTTTCTAACCTTAGCCTAACCTTTGCTAAGCCTAGCCTAGCCTAACCTAGCCTAGCCTAACCATAGGTAACCTAGCCTAACCATAGGTAACCTAGCCTAACCTTTGCTAACCTAGCCTAACCATAGGTAACCTAACCTAACCATAGGTAACCTAACCATAGGTAACCTAGCCTAACCATAGGTAACCTAACCATAGGTAACCTAACCATAGGTAACCTAACCATAGGTAACCTAGTCCAATCATAAGTAATCTAATCTAACCTTAGTTAACCTAACCTTAAACTTAGTGATCCTAACCATAGCCTCGGCTAATCTAACCTAACCTTAAACTCAGCTACCCTAAGTTAACCTTAACCCTTAACCTAACTTACTGTAACTTTAATCAAAATTTTGCCTCGACTCTTAAAACATTGAAGCTACTTTAGCATCCATGTTGGACTTAGTGCCTAAGCTACACTCGGCACCATTACCCCAAGCTGTGGCGAGTAACCAACATGTATAGGTTGTTATACCTCTCACACGTGGGGTTTTTTTTCATGCGCGACAAAAACAAAAGCTTGTGTGAAGGAGGCCAAAAGTCACGCTGCTTCCCAATTTGTTGAGCTTAAAATGAAGAAAGGGGGGGGGGGGTGTGAATAATATGCACATTTATTATACACCAAAGCTGCCAGGAGCAACTGATCTGGAGCATGGTGAACACGGAAGCTTGGTGTTCCGCTTACTTGGCCAGCCTTGGACTGGGAAATCCACCATTCACCTCACCCATATTGCAAACCACAATATCATACACTCACAAAGTGGTTAAAAAACATCCCTGCTCAGTCTCACAACCCGTCTAACATAAGACCAACGATGACGTCATGTATCGTGTCTCTGCCTCCAGTATTTACTTCAAAATCGTAACGTGTTTTGAGAGGTTAATTAATTCTTACCTCGAACAAATGCCAAGACTAACTTACAGATACCAATTCCTGCGCTCTGGATGTTTCTCAGTGCCTGTGTTGGCTTTATTATGCTCTCTGTACTTAGTTTGTCGATATATGAGCGGAATCATTTAAGATACCACCTATCATGCATTTAGGAGACAAACAACTGTCTCACTGTACGGTAAACGTCTGGCGCTGTCCGTTTTCTGACCTCACCATGATCACTCGTAACCTTCTGTATTGTTAAAGTATCAAACATAATGCAATGCTTATTAATATTAGGACAATATTTAATGAACTAAGTCCTCTTTGTTGATACCTATTACCATATTAAAATATTTTTTTCCCGAGTCACAGAAGAGAACAAAAATGTACGTATTGGTTGCCTAACTGCGTGTAAACCCTACGAGCTCTCGCAGTTTGTAAAACCCACATGCATGACTCCGCTGATCACCCATGTGTGGTCGCATGTCACATCACGCCCACCTGGGTTGTCTAATGTATGTTGTGTGAGCAGACAGTGCGCCAAGTCTCAAGAACAGGATAAACTTTCATATTGATGAAACAAACATTGTCAATCGTGGTATCCACAAAATTCCCGAGGCAGTGATAGATATCACATGAATATTATACACACACTATACAATGTGTCTTTAACTCACAAAATAAGTGATTTAACAATTCAGTCTCGCTAGATCGATACTGTATATTACCAGTCTTAACATATTTCTTGTAATACGTTCCTGAAATTGTTCAACACCTCCATAAAACATAATTATGGTCTTAGGGATTTTTTCTTCTTTTTAGCCACTATCAATACATTTTAAAATTTACACTTGCGATACTACTTCTAAACTACCTTATATACACATTAAAGATTAACCTGGCTTGAGTTTTAACACACTCACTCATAACATAAATATCAGACCAGATCTTGTTAACAGTCACAAACGTCCACATAACACAGCATCAACTCCACTACGTACATCGTCACGGGCTGATCATTAGCTCCACTACGTCTCAACGAAAAAAGTCAGTATATATTTCAACAAAACATGAAATAGAATGAGAGAAATTTTCAAGTAAACAGTTTTAACCATGCTTCAGCATGATCCAGATTTTTAAGGCCAGGCACCATAAATAAGCTTTCCAGAGATGGTCCTGTAGTGGATACCTCCCCTACAAACGCTGTTTGTCGCTGAGTAGCCGACCACGCGAATTCCCCAGTGTATGCCTCGTGGTCCAGGTCAACCAGCGCCGCCTTACATGACGGAGGTCAACTATTAAGCCACGCCTACCTCTGCTATAAAAGACCTGACCTCGTGGTGACCGCTCTCTTTTCTACCTGCACCAACCAGCAAGCAACACCTCCTCCTCCTCCTCCTCCTGCCTAGCGGCCCTCGCTCCCGCCGGCGAGCATGGCGACCCACAAACTTGTCCTCCTCTGAGCACCCTCACCAACCAGCTCTCTCTACTCAACGCTTGTAACCATGCTGCCTTCCCAGCACCAAGCTGCATTGTACATCCAATACAACATGTATACAGAGAGCATATTGTGAGTTTCCTTTCTCCATCCCATCCTGAGTGTGAACCCCAAACAACCCGTACCCCACAGTCCGTTCAATGTACACCGTCCCACATGTTATGCCACAAACAGTGTACACCGTTTTG